GCTACGATGTGTGAAATATGCTGGATGTGTGTGCGCAGCCATACTGATTAGACACACAGATACACATACCGATACACACACACTCTCGCATTCGCACTCGTAGCGCGGCTCAGTTGACAGAAAAACAATTAAAATTTGGTTGCAATTTGTTTGATTTTTCACAACAGCGAAATGAAAAAATGCAAATGATGAATATAAAAATGAAAATGCAAATGGAAATCTAAATGAAAATGAAAATGAAAAAGAAAAAAATGTAAAGTCTGCCCATTGACCTTATTGGGCACTCAGACGGCAATGGGAGCAAAAAGTGGACACAAAACAGGGACACAAACCAGGGCTAAGAACAACAATAAAAAGGAATATATATTTATGTATATATACGTATAGAACTTGTCAAGTCTTTTTATTGTTATTATACAATTTTGAGTGCCTGACAAATTTTATATTGAAGCGACATTCGATGCGGTGGCTTTTCACTGGAAATAATATGAAAGTATTCATTAAGTTTACAATTTTATTTTTACGCACTTTCCGCTCCATCAGTGAAAAGTATTGGAGTCAATTGTATTGAATGGGTAGAAGCTGATTGCATTTATTGGTATATCGTGAAGTAAGTCATTCAATCAAAAAGCTTTATTTCAATCGTTGCAATTTTATTGGCTCAAATTCAGCTGAGGTGGAAGCCAAGAGTTAATCCAGAGCAGATTGACTTTATGCATAGCTAGAGTCTATGTATTGCTTAGGATATGCTTAGATCAGTTAGTCATTCAATTTGCCTTTTGATCATCTTTCAATTTCTCTTTTGATAAGCTTAGCTTCAGCTTTTAGTTGTACTAGCATAGAGCCCAAATGACAAGCTATCTATCCATCAGTCAGCCAGTCAGCTTGTCAGCCATTAGTCTCTTAGTAGCTTTGTCAATTAGTCTATCATGATTGATTGCAGTTATAGTTATAGCTGCATTACATCAGATAAGTGGTTCAATCAAAAGTCTGCCACTCTATCATCGGTAATTCTTTTTATCTATACTAATGTAGAGCTCAATCAGTCAATCAGTGAATCATCAGTCTCGCAGTATCGAAGTCATTTACTTATATATAAAAGATCTTGCGAAATCCACGTTGAGATGTTTCCACTCGCTTAGTTAAATCGAATCCTTAGCCCAGCTCTTGCTTTTTGGCTAACCTAGCTCGGCATGAGATTCTCCATTGTTGAGGCAATTTAGAGCAAGCCGCATTTGTGGCTTTCATAATTTGAACGACCCATTTCGCGTGAAAACTGTGTCGCATTCGCCTCGACTGGTCGACCCATTGGCCATTGGACAGTGGAGAGGGGGCAGGAAACGTGCAGCGTGCACAAGTGGAAGTTTTAATTTCAATTTTTTATTGCTTGGAATCTGTTTGGACAGCAACCTGAGCCACCTTGGGTTGTGGCAAGTTTTAGTTTTTATTTTCACTGTTTTTTGTGGCAGCAATGAAAATGTTTTTCGCTTCGCTCAGCTCTGAATGCTCCTTGTCTCTGTGCCGCTTGGCATTTTTACTTTTTTATTTTGTTTTTGGGCACATTTATTGGCTGGGCGACAAATTTTTATTGCCCAGTTTTACTTTTGGTCTGTGGCTGCATATGGCGCCGATTTCTTCTCACCAACTACCCCGCCTCCTGCTCTAGGTTCTATATCGGCCTGCTGACAAAAGTTTTGGCCCGTCCACAGGCTGCGGGTCTAATCATATTGCCAGGCGCCGTGGCCAACCCTCGGGTTACGTGATGCATTTTTACAAGACCTGACTGCTCCAGTCAGTCGAGACTCGAGACTCGAGACGGGCTCTGACTCCAAAGAGTAGCTCGAATCGCCTCGCTGCTCACAATTTGACTTTTGATGTGGGTATGTGCGAGCGTGAGAATGTATGTGTGTGTGTTGAATGAGTCTGTGTGTATGTGTGTGAGTGTGTAACCTAGTGTGTGTCTTGGCACGCCCCGCTGGCACAATGGGTTGCTGCGAAAGTTTTTGTTTTAAAAATGATTTTAAGCTGCATACATAGAACGATGGCAAGCGAGGTAAAGAGGGAGAGAGAGATAGAGAGTTTTATAGAGTGCTGAATATACTTTGAAATTAGAAACCAATTTGTTCAACATTTTTGACATAGATACCCTTTACTTTCGTAGTTAATAAAACAAAGAAGAGTTCAATGATTTTGAGTTAAAATTATGCTTTATAAATTCTACTTTGTTTCAGCTGTTCATATAGTAGGAAACTAACATGGACAGGTACAAATTTAGAGATAGATAACTTTTACTGAATAATCTAATCAGTTTAGGCTAGGAATTCGAATTAATGTTTTAGTAACTATCCCGTTGATTTAATCTTTTATTTTTTTGCCTCTTGTTATTGATAACTAGCTGGTTTTTATCCTATATATATACATAGAGTTGACCCTTAGGAAGTAATAAGTTTTTCATTCTATCCCCAATCCTTTATGGAGCTTATATATTCTTATTTATTGCATATAACAATGATTGATTGATTTTATGCCTTTCGAATTGGTATTTTTGTCTGGCAGTTTTCGGCCCATTGTTCAGATTTAGTGCGGCGCATTCGACATGTCAGAATTTGTGGATATTCTGTTTAAATACCGTAATGAAGTCTGCTTATACAATATAATGTACCGTGTTTGTGCTACGTGCCTTGGTTATGTTATTGCACGCTAAAGCCCAACTTCCGCTCAGCTTCCGCCAGCGACCTCGCGGCGAGAGGGAGAGCAATAGAGCGAGCGAAAAGAGAAAGAGTGAGAGAGAGAGAGAAGGAAAAGCGAGTAGAGGGGCTCGGCTCTGGTTGTGTTTTTATTTGTGTGCCGGCAAATCTTAAACTTGTTTTACTGCTCGTTAGTGTTAGTCGAGCAGCACCCAGAGTTCGTCGGTGTGTGAGTGTGTGCGTGGAGTGGAAAAGGAATATATTGCCACCATGACACCCTATTGTTATAACACGTTCCACGGCCCCAGTCAGAGGGAGGCTGCGATTGGCAATGGGTTAGAGATGGAGCACGAGACTGAGAGACAGCGTCTGTTCTGTTGCTCAACTGGAACTGAAGTCTGTGTTTGGCCAACCAGGCACTGGAGTACACTAAAGCTAGAGAGCTTCACTGTGTGTGTGTGTGTGTGTGTGTATTGATGCGTGTGCCAAGGTGCATGCTAAGTGCCACATCCCGGCAATGGGCGCCTTGGCTAATGTGGAGTGCCAAACGTTGAGATAGGAAAGAAACTCTCACTCGCACTCTCTCTGTCGCTCTCTGTATATCTGCTCCATCTCTCTCTGCCCGTTTGGCTGTCCTGGCAAATGTTTGTCCAGCATAATTGCGCTCAGCATGCAGTTTTCTCTTTGGCCAACATTCCCGACATCCCCGGCAGCCCGCTGCTCTATGTCCTCGCCACTTTTATCGTTTCCGAGTTTGGCTTTGCTTTTCAATTTTGCCGCATGCGGCTTTCTTTGGGGATGCTTTAAAGGATTTGGGACTTGTTTACGTGGCGTATTAGTAACATTTATAACGAAAGGCTTCGATGCGCCACAGGCGCCATTGCAAATGATTTTCATTTCGGCCCAGCTAACTTAATGAATTAACAAACAGCCACAAATTATTTGTTGTCCCAGTGAAGTGTGTAAACCGCATCATAACAAAATCATTATATCAAATATAGATTTTCTAGATACCTAAGTATATTATGAATTTTCTATCTGTGTGTGCCAGCCTGACATGTCGTAACTATGACCAAATAATTTACATTTCAGCTCTTCATTACTCATTAATTGCACTAAGTAACAAAGTTGTGTGAAGAGGCTGCTGCAGGACAATGATTGAGCCATGAATCCGATTAGTTTCGCATGAAATTTGCAAGTGTTTTGTTTTCATATTTCTCGAGTTGAAGCCTACTTGATTCTGTTTGACTTATTTAGGAGGAAGACTAAGTATGTTATCAGCACATTGTGTAACAGGCATTCAAACACTTAACTATTTTCTATTGATTATATAATTAATAATTAATATTCCAGATCAGATAGTTGATTTATAATAGAGTTTTTTCTTTAAGCAGTTTTTATATGCTCTTTGCTGACAGCTTGTGGTTGGCTTCATTCTAGACTTTAATGATTATAACATATAGGAAATACCTTCAGACCAACATGTATAACAAATGCTCAGACTAAACTGGAATGCATTCACTTTACAATATTCCTTTAGCCTTTCCTTTATCCTGATCCTTTAACTCCTAAATATAGAACAATTTTCTGGTTAAGCTTAAAGACTATTCCTCACATTTTCATTCATTCACACATAATACGAACTCATCTGAGTTTTTCAATTCACAAGCCATTCTGGAGGGTATTCGAGAACTTAAACAACTTGTGTGCTGGCTTTGATTTCCATTCAGTATTGTCGAAGCAATTGCTGTGACTGGTCATGACAATTACTGTTTCGTGTTTAACCATAATAATCTGCTCAGTTATTTGTGTAATTAAACAAGCAATAAACCCCCAGTGGAAATGTCTGTGGAAAGTCTGTGGAAAGCGTAAGCCCAGTCCAGAGAGCCATAAAACCCCAAAGTCGAAACCACTTGGGTCTCTCTCTGCTTGTGTTTGTTTGTTCGCCTGTTGTTTTGTTAAATGTTATAGTTGTTGCTCGCTCGTATTTGTGGATGAGATTTAAAATGTTTTAATCAACTGCGAATATACAAACATAACGTGCATATACATATGTCTGTTTGTTTAAATATTTGCAATGATGTGCAAAGTGTTTTTGTTGCTGGGCTTGCGGCTAGAAGTTGGCAAAACTTTGCGCAATTTTGCGGCAATTCTGTGAAAATGTAATCAACATTTTTCCACCCGAATGCCAATCATAATCGTAACAGTTATTGTCGCCCACTAAGAAGGTGTTGAACTTTGATTGCAGTACTCAATTAAAACGCAATTAAACAGATCATTAACTAATTTATATATATGTATATATTTCTTTATTGTGTCGTTATAGAGTGTTATGTATAATGTATATAGGTATTTTATTTACTTTTCTTCTTTCATTTTTTTTCGCTCTGTGTAGGTGTATTTGTTGTAAACACTATGGTTAAATTGTATATAAATTTGTATATATGTATATATATATATCACTTAAACTATAATTATTCAATTGCTGGTTAATAGTAATGCATCGAATACACATTAAATGCCAATTTCCAAATTGTTGTTGTTGTTGCTGTTGCTGTTCTTGTTGGCTAAGTGCGCGTGAGCATTCCGTTGATCATTATGTTGGCCAAAGCGTTGCGCCGCTTGCGCCACGCCCCCATGCCTTGGGCGTGATATTGCAGCTGTGTGTACCACTGCTTAGTGCGTAGGCCATCCTCAGCCTGTGGAAAGAAAGCAAGAGAGAGAGAGAGAGAGAGTGTGTGTGTGAGAGAGAGTTAAGCATATGTTGTCAAAGTGTTAGACATATTTGATTGAAACGTCAGTTGGACAGGTGTCATATGTGTGCGTGTGCCTCTGTCTGTGTGTCCAGTTGGCCGTAACTAAACGCCACAATTTATGCAAAGCCTGACTCGTCCTTTCACGCAGCGACAATTTCTCTTTATTCCACGTTCGTTTTTCTTTCCTTTTTTCATTCTCTTGTTAAATTTCAATAAATGTCATTCATTTTGGCAGGCACTTTACGTGCGCTGCCTCAACGCACTTCAAAAGACTGCGGAGCAGTAGAGGCAGAGCGGCCGGAGGTCAGGGCGGTTAGGGGTCTCGTGGCAGGCAGCCACCGCAATCATCTAACCGATGGCTTAACTCGGTGCCTCGGGGCAACAAAAAAATTCGCATGAGTGAAGCTGCGTCTCGCTTTACATTAGACAGGATTTCAAATGGATTTCTATATGCGCTCCACTCTGTATGTATGCATGTATGTCTGTGTGTATTATGAGTGCGTAGGCGAGTGTGTGTGTGTGTATGTGGCCTGTCTGTTATTAAATACGTAAACTGTACTTTATGAAACTGACATTGTGCAGCTCCCATAGGTACGCTATATGAATTTTCAAAGGCCATCAAAACTCTTCTGTTGCACGCGAAGTTTCTTTTTGGCAGCGGCAGCCATGTCAGCTGGCATTTGTAATGGATAGTCATTACTTTCCTACTCCCCTACTCTTCTGTTCTTTTGATCTCCTACTTTCTTACTCTTCTACTCTCCTACTCTCCTACTATATTAGTCTCCCACTCTGCTAGTCTTGCACTCATCTACTTTCCTTCTATTCTACTCTTTTATTCTCCTACTCTTCTACTCTCCTACTCTCCTTCTCTTCTACTAAATTACTCTCTGTTTTCTGCTCGCAACTTTATTTCGCCTACTCTTACTCTCCTTCTTTATATCACTTCTTCTATCCTACTCTTCTGCTCTTCAATTCTTCCATTCTTCTACTCTCCTACTCTTTCATTCATCTACTATCCTTCTCCTTTACCCTTCATTTTCTTCTACCCTTCTACTGTCCTCTTCTACTCTCCTACTAAACTAGTCTCTATTTTCTGCCTTTAGCTTTTTTTCCGCTAGTTAGTTAGCTTTATTCCGCTGTCTTCGTTAACCAGCTGTTGCCTGCTCTTTTAACTGTGTTAATTGTGTTGTTGCTGCTCTATTAACTTGGTAAGATCGTCTGGCTGGGCACATCCACAGCCAGCCTGCCGTTGTAGCGAAAGCTGAACTGAAACTTGTAGCCCCGCATAGGAAGGGACGAGGGAATCCCGCCAAACGGCTGGGGCAAAACTAACGAAGCCCAAACATTTGCTGGTGTGCAGTCAAAAGGCAAACGGTTCCATTTAAATGCCAAGTCAACTGACAACAGGCAAAACCAAATCCGAGCGAAGGTGAGGAAGGGACGTGGGGCCAAAACAATGCACAGGAGGCATCGAAGCTAGGCTTAGGTGGTGTAGGTGTAGGTGTAGGTGCAGGGGTAAGGGTGGGTGCAGCTGGCGTCTACTCACTTTGAATATGAATGTGTCCTTCGATGAAATTTCCTGCACTTCGAAATAATCATCCCAATCCGCTTCGCTGCACACAACACATCTGTCCAGATACAACGGCTCCCGTGTCAGCGTGTACCGTCCGCACTTCTCCTTCACCATCAGCAGCGAGGCCTCCCGAATGCCATTGTGCTTCGGGAAATTCAGTTTATCCGACATGGCCTTCTCTGCCCTATAATTGGTACTTGGCTGCCAGAAAAAAAAGGGAAAAATGGAAGTGGAAATAGAAAATTGTGTAAAGCGAAACTAAACAAAATTACAACTAGAAAAAGCGTAGCTTGAAGCTTGGAGCGTGGACCGACGACTAAGGACCGAGGAGCGAGGAGCGAGGAGCGTCGTGCTGCCTACAGATAACGCGAGCACACAAAGCTTGTCAGGCAGGCAGAGCAACAACTGCCGCAGGAAGCAGCAAGACAAGCAGCAGGACTCGAACTAACATCAGCACCCAAAACAACAGCCCAGAAACAAGCGGCAAAAACAAAAAAATGGGGGAGAAAAAAGAAATTGCCTTGAATTGAGCAATTGTCGGGTAAGGCTTTTGCAAAAATTTAGAGCAGGGCACAAAAACCAAACAAGTGACATACGCACTGCGTCGCCATCGATGTGCCACAATCCCATCTCCCTGCATAGAGCGCACCCTGCTGGCCTTTTGGGATACTCGGCTTGTGGCCCACTTGACGCCGTTGGTTTTTTCTACCCAGCAAACGCTGCGAAGCATTGATGAGGATATGCTCTAGATGCGGTGCATAAATGGATTTTCCAGGGTTTATATAGAACTGGATTGCAGGGTATCGGCTGGGCGGGCACTTTCGTAAGTAGAGCAGACTTTGCTATTTTTTTATGGCTCGCCTACGAATGTGGAAACTCGTTTTGTTTTTAGGCATCAAAAGCAGATAGTTGCTTGGATAAGCACTTTTCATTAGGACAGGCCGGATGCGCTTCCGTTCCACTCGATGCGTCAACGGGCATTCGCCCGGCTGCTCCTCGTTCGCCACTCCACACGGTGGCCCTTGTCGGCTCTGCTCTGATTTGTTGAAATCTTTTATCGTACGGCAAAAACTGTTGCCATGACATCAGTTGGTTCGCACATGCTCCCGGGCCCGGTCTTCCGGCCTGCAGTCCACTTGAAACCCAGTTTGGAAGGCGTGATCCTGTGCAGAGGCACAAAGGCAAAGCGAGGGTAGGGCTGGGAGGGATGAAGTGAGGGCTATTAGGTGCAAGCGGCGCTCGCTAATTGCCCACACCTCATGTCAAACGCCCGAGCATCGTTTGTCGCTTGTCAAACGTGACCGGGAACTGAAGTAACAGGTTCTGTTGGGGACAGCTTCTACTACTAACTGCTCCCTCTAGCTTTAGCCTTAGCCTTAGCTTTGCCCTCCATCCATAGCTTACCTTGCCATTGGTCACGAGCAGCGCATTCACTGGGGTCAGCTTGATGGTGCGCGCCTTCTTCCAGTTGCTGTCGGTGGGCTGCGTGTAGAGGAGCTTGCCCTCCATGGCGAAGCGGACCTCATCGTGATTCCACTCGAGTATGTCGATGGCCATTTTGCGCAGCTTGATGTTTATCATATCAATTTCGCAGGAGGCACGCCGATTGGGGCTCGAGGAGCTGATGCGGCGCCAGAGCTTGGTGGGCACATCCTTGGCCTCCTGGTTGATGTGATTCAAATGCAATTCAATTTTCTCCTGCGCCTGTTTCAACAGCTCACGTCCATCCAGGTGTGCGGGCGTCACCTTGTACAAACGCGCCAGCAGCAATGGATACTTGGTGACACGCTGTACGGGCACCTAAAGAGAGAAAGACAAAGAGAGAAGAGAGAGAGAGAGAGAGAGGGAAAGGGAATTAGCACAAGGGGTTAGACGACTGAGAAACAGACGTTTAGAGGCTAGCCATGCATATAAAACACAATCGAGCATCGGCCAATCGCTTACCATCAGAAACGAGTTGAGATTCATGCGACGCAGCACGGCGTTCTCCATTTGAGAGACCTTCAGGAAGATGCGCAGCAGCTCCTTCTCCTTCTCGAGATTGGCCAGCAGCAGGCTGGCGCCCGCCTGTCGCACGCAATAGCTCTCGAAGGCGTGCAGCATTTGGGTAAAGTCGAGAAAGATGCGCCCAATGTTGACCGTCAGGAGATCATCGTCGCCCTGCTCCAGAGCAATGTCCAGGGCGTCTCGCATACGCTCGGCCAGCGTCTGATTGTTCTCGAGCAAGTCTTCCGTGTTGAGGAAGATTGCAGAGAGCTGCTCCTGGGTGAGCAGGCCGGCCACCAGCATCGGCTGGCAGAACTCCTCCAGTATGATTTGCAAGTCGCGGCCATATTTCTCCTCCGTCTCCACAATCTCAGTGATAATCTCCTTGCGCTCCACCCGCTTCTTGCCACACTTGCGGCACACGAGCGGCGCATAGAGGACGCCCGCCTCGCTCAGCTGCGTCTCGACAGGTCCGTCGCAGTCCTCGCATAGGTGCAAGGGACTCACAGCCGGCTGGTATTTGCTGCGCGAGGACTTGCTTGTCTCGGAGCCAACGCCGGAGTCCTGGCGCTCCACATCGCTGCCGCTCTTGCCGCAGATGAAGTTGTGCGGCGGCGGCGACAAGGAGCTCATGTTGCTGTGGCTATCGTCGCAGCTGACTCGCTTCTCCAGCTCGCTGAGCGTGTCGCTGGCCTCCTCTTCGATGATCTTCGGATTGTTGCTGTAGTCGAAGCTCTCCTCGCGCACCAGCCCGCGCTCCTTGGCGTCTACCAGGTAGGAGAGTATGTCGTATTTGGAGGCGCCCTCAAAGATGGAACGTGCCGCCTTCTTATCCAGCTCGGCATCGTTCAGAGGGGGTGCGGTGAGGGGCAAAGGCGGTGGCACTTCGTTGATCTCCTCATAAATGGGATCGCCATGATGCCTGATGGATTCATAGTGATGCTCGGCCTCTGTGTGCGTGCTGTGCTCGATCTCCGCGAGAGTTGCGTCCACCAGAAGCTGATAGAACTTGGCGCGTGTCGAGGCATCCACATCGGAGTCTGTTGCGGGCTCTGCCTCGGCCGCCACCTCCTCCAGCACGCCTGAAGCTGTCATCTCGCTCGAGCAGCTTTGATAGCAATCGGATTCATTGGCCGCCGCTTCGAAGTCGAACAGCTCGTAGTTGTGGGCGGAGGCGAAGCTGTTGGCGGAACTGATGCTGCCCCGATTGGACAGACGATCCTCCTCTTTGGTCGTCGCGGTCGTTGTCGTCGCCGTCGTCGTCTGAGTCGTCGTTGGTGTCGCTGTCGTCGAGGCCGCTGCCGGCTGTCGCTCCTGGCGCACGCGCTGCAACGAGACGTTGATCAGCCGGTTCATGTCCTCGTGGTCTTTGGTGCCGCTCATGTCGATGCCTTCGCGCGTTCGCTGCAGTCGCTCCAGCGAGTTCTCGATCAGCTCTGCCACAGTGTCCGTCTCCAGGCCGTCGGCCACCTGGCTCAGCATCGGATCCTGCAAGAGCTTGGCTATGAAGCCACTGCTCGGCGCTGCCTCCTTGGTGGGCGTGGCAGCTGTTGGCGTCTCTTGCATTTTCTTGCTGCGCAGGGCATCCGTTGCGGGCAGTCGCAGACCGCAGACATGCGGCACGAGATTCCGTTTGACTGCCTCCACGGGATTTCGTAGAATCTTAAGCAGCTCCGTCTCGTGCGGCACCAGTGCCGCGCTCGCTGACGGAGACGGCGGCGGTGGAGTGGCTGGCGTTGAGCAAATTGCTGGCGGCGAAGGCGTATTGATGGGCGTGGTCGTGGTAGCTGAATGCCTGCTGCCGGCTGTGGCCAGCTCCTTGTCATAGTCCAGCCTAATCAAGGTGCGACCGCGTCCACTCGAGCTGCTGCTGCTCGACGTCGAGCTACTCGACGTGGATGAGATGCATGAAGCGGAACGCTGCAGATTCACTTCGCTGGCGTTGCTGCTCCTGATCGGTATAATGGCAGCCAGATTGGCATGCTGGCTGCGTAGCGTGTTGAGCAGATTGTGCTGCTGGATGAGCTGCTCCTCGGCGCTGCTCACGCTGATGCACACGCTGTTCGCCGTCTGGCTGTTGACCACCACGGAGGACTGGTAGAGCGGCTGGGCGGCATCGGCGCTGAGATTCATGGTGGAGTAGCAGTCGTCGCCGTTAATCAGTATCGATGTCTTCTTGGGCGCCACGTCCGACTCCGCATGCGGGGAGTGGCAGCGCATCGTGACATTGTGCTCCAGCTGCAGAGGATGGGCATCCTGTTCGCTGTGCGAGATTTTCAGGCGATGCACCTCGCTGCTCTTGTTAAAGGGCGCCACCCGGACCACAGTTCTCTGCTGTGGCTGTGGCTGTGGCTTTGGCTGTTGCTGCCGAGATGGCGACGGCGACGGCGACGGTGATGGCGACTGCGATGAAGCGGAAGCAGGAGCAGTTGACTTATTGATTTGCTGCGGCTGCGGCTGCTTCTCTAATCCGTTTGTGGTCGGCGTCTTGGGCAAAGGCGGCGGCGGCGGCGGCTCTGTTGGTCGCCTTTGAAATAAATCTCTCGAGTCGTTGCGGTTGCTTTTTATGCGCAGCGCCATTGTGTCCTTAAAATTTAAAATGACACCAGACTGCGAGGGGTTTGATGCTGAGTGCTCTGCCTGCTCCAGCTCCTGCTCCTGCTCCTGCTGCTGCTGCTGCTGCTGGTCGTGCTTGTCCTGGCCAGGCTGTGGCCTCGACTTCGAGCTGGGCGGGGCAGACAAATGCCTTTCGCTGTGAGCGCGTCTGATGGGATTTCGCGATTGTGTCGTTTGTGCTGCACGCTTTTGACTTGCCCGCGGCCTGCTGCTGCTGCCGCTGCTGTTGGCCTCGTCCTTGCTCTTCTGCTGCTGATGCTGTTGCAGCTTACCCAGCTTCGACTCGGTGGCAGGCTCAACCTCAGCCTCAGCCTCAGACTTAGCCTGCTGGTCGTGGTCCTCGTCTTGGTCCTTGTCGTTGCTATTGTTGCTGTCGTTGTGCTCGTCATCATCGTCATAATCGCGATTTGCTGCTGTCGCCTTTTGGGCTGTCGTTGCCGTTGTCGTAGTCCTTGTCGTTGCTGTTGTGGCGTTGCCTGCTAAAGAAAAGAGTAGAGAAGAGCTGGTTAGTGGTGAGTGGCAAGTGGTGACTCGCGTGTCGCAGCTAGCAAAATGTTGCCTTTTGCAAAATAAACCGCAAACAGCAGAGGCAAATGCAAAGGCAAACGCAAACGCTTTTTTCTTAGTTTGATGAACGGCTAAAGGGAATGAAAGGAGCCGGCCAACAGTTTTGTGTACGTGTTGCCAGAGAATGAAAGGATATCGAAAATGTTGATTACCCTAATTAAAATTAAGTTACGCCCTTTTCTCTGTTTTTCATGAAAATTAGAGGAGAACGATGACAGGAATTTGAGAAATTTATTATTCTTACGGATTTTGATCAGCGTTTATCACAGGGTTATTTAAAAAACAAATTCGATCATCAAATAAATTTCTTTCTAAGCTTGGTGTTACAGTTTAAATCTTAACAAAATAACTCTTCCTATAATTTAACCTGAGATTTTGATGAAAATCTTGCACATCTTAACAAAGTTTAGCGTGTTTTCACCGTATGAAAGCCATTAGCTGTTTTTCGGCTAAGCACATTGACCACTTGGCTGCACTTTATGTATGCAGATTTATATGTCTTTGGGGCGGCCAGCAGTTGCCCGCGGGTAAAGCCCACCCAGCCACCGCCAAGTCAACTATGCAGCCCCACCACCAGCCCAACCAACGCCCCAACCACCGACCCAACCTACATCCTAGTGTGCCACGTTGACAGCCACTTAAAGATGTGCTTGCCAGCGATAAGGTGTTTTGTTTTGGTTTTGGTTTGGCGGCGGCTTCTACTGCGGCTTTGCTGCTGCCCCAGTGGCCCCACTGCCCCACTGGCCACCCAGTGGGCTAGCTATTCCCCACGCTCGCTGACAATATGTACATATCTTTATTTATGGTAAATTGGGTGATTTACGTTGCGGCCGATAAGCGTTTGCTTTTCAGCGGCTGCCGTTCGCCGTTCGCCGTTCGCTCTTTGTAGCCGGCATGCTCTGGCTGTCCTACGCTGGCATTTGAATTGCCAGTCCTTGAGTCTGGGTGCACAAGTCAACGCTGCTAAATGGCATTTTGGCATTATTTAGAGAGGGGCTGAGGCTGAGGCTGTGCTTCGGTCGGTTTGGTCGGGTTAAGAGAGCGCGAGCTGCGGGGCGAAATTGGATGAAAGAACGCGGCTGTCACCACAGGCAGCGGCCCGAAGGGCAGAGCGCGAGACGTGGCAAACAATTTGTGTTGGAATTAAGATAATAGATTACATTTAAATGTGTTTTGCTCGCTTTATTTTGGTATTTTTATTTGTTGGCTTTCTCCGAGTCTTAACTGAAATGCGGCTGCGAAAAGGGTTCTCGTAAGCGCGTATCTTTGAAATTTGAACGGCGCAGCTGACGTCAGATAGACGTCAAGTCTGTGCGACGATAAGCAGGCACTTGCAGGACATGCCATCAGCCATTTACACCCACACACACACACACACACAGACAGACAGACAGCGACACGCTTGCTGATGTCCTTGAGCAGCAGCAGCAGTAGCTAACGTTGTCCTTATCATGCTCGCTCTCGTCCATTTTAATGAGTGTGAAAAGTGAGCTGGTTTTATGGCCGTGCGCTGCGCTGCGGTGCGGTGCGGTGCGGTGCTTGAGCTTTGGCCATGTCCAAAGGTGGACATTTTATGTTAATGAGTATCATCAGCGCAGAGATTTCAGCATTAATGATGTACATCTGTCAGATATGCTGCCTGCTCTCGGCCACTCTAGCACTCTGAGTGGCTTTTGCCACGTCGGCTTTGACTTGAATCGAATTAATTATTTGTGGCAAGCACTTGAATTTCAATCGAACCTTTGTGTGCTAATCGCATTTCCAAAGTTAGTTTTCTATGCAAAATAGCGACAAATTACAACAACAACAAGGATATAAGTGACAGATAGAAAGAAGAGGAGAGAGCAGGCTGGAGAAAACAATGCAGACAATGCACAAATGAGATGAAATCAACTCGTTCTCCATTTGCCATGCTTTGCCTTTCGTTTTGTTGGCTTTCATTTATTTCTTCTACATTTTGTTTTTGTTTTTACTTTTTTTATTTAAGAGTACACTAAATGCCACCTGATTGGCAGCTCGGCAGTTCGTTGTCGAGTACGAGCCACTTAATGAGATTTTGTTGAAAATTACGTTTGCTTATCTTGTTGTTGTTGCTGTTTGTTACTGTTGCTGTTGTTGTTGTTGTTGTTGTTGTTGTTGTAATCGCCTTTCTTTGAGTTCAAATATTTAATTAACACCTTTTGTGCTGTAAGCAGCTAAACGTATAAGCAGAGCTCAATTGTACAGTATTCGTGTTAGCTAATAAAATGAATGCGACGTAAATGAGTGCGGCGTATACGTGATATTTGATGAGTTGACAAATACCAGCGAAAAGTTGACTACAAATTAAAATTGTTTCTGGTAATTGGAGGTGAACAAAGAGAAAAGTTTGACAAGAATGAAAATGCATGAAACTAAATGTAGATTGATATGAAACAAAGCAGAGGAAAGCAAAGACAATATCTCTATAGAAATTCCAGATTAATGTGAACAACAACTATAAGTGAATGTATGTCTATTTATCTATTCTCTGAATCTTATTTTTAGCCAAAATCTAGCTTGCATATTTTTCTAATCATCTCTGTGATACTAGAGTCTAGCTCTCTGGCTATACAAATTCTATGGCCAATTATAAAAATTTATCAAATGTCTGCAAGCAAAACACAGACACACACTCACACACGCACACACTCACACATGTATAAGCAGGGTTAGCTTTGTTGACCCGATTGATTGGCTAACTAAAATATTTTTGTAAAGAAAATAGATTTGTCAATGAAATGAAAAACTCTCTGATAACAAGCTTATTTGCCACTGAGCCAAAGAGGATGCAATGGAAATTGCACGAGTATGACACGCAAAATGTTGCTGAAATCAAATGGAAATGGAAACATTGTTGCCAACTCTCTTCACTTGATGCGATTTATGCGTAAAATAACTTTCAGTTTGTTTTTCATTTTAATTAAATTAAATGCCAAAAAAAAAGTTTTATACAATTTTACAGCAATTTTGCCAAAGCTAAAAATCAATCTCTCTCTCTCTCTCTCTCCCTCTGTCTCTTTCTAGTTGTCGCTCGGTATCTGATTTACAAATATTGTTGTTCAGTCTATTATTATTGTTATCATATAATATGTATGTCAGTGTGTTTCTGTGTGTGTGTGTATGTAAGGATAAGCAGCGTATTGAATAGGCATGGCCGTGGGCTGTGAGCAATGGGCTGGGGGCGTGTACATGGGCGCTGGTCCATTACAAATGTGTCTGTGTGCATTTGAGAAGAAAAAGTAATTAAAAGCGTTACTTGTCGGGATTAGTAAAACATTTTAATTTAGTTGTTGCACAAAAGCAAAACGGACAGCCAGCCAGCCAGCCAAGAGAGGGTAAAGAGAGAGAGCGCAAGAGGGAGAGGGGAATGATTGAGGGGCTATAGCGAGTCAAACTGAAATGGGTCAATAAATCCGAGCTTAATTTTATTGCTATGCGCGCTCTTTTCACTAGTTTCCAGAGCGGAAAACGAAAAACGAAAACGAACAAATATAAATCGCAATGGTAAACAAATCAAAATAAATGAGTAACAAAAGCAACGGCAATGGCAACGCCAAGACGGACTGAACTAAGTGAGCAGATGCGCGCCCTGCCACTGGCCCGCCCTGTTCTACCTCATGGCATCCTAATGCTCAGCTCCACACTCAACTTGCTGACAAGCTGACAAACTGGCTCGACTCTGACTCCGTCTGGCAAAGTGCCGAGCAGCGATTGGGTTTCTGGGACTACGATTGCGATTGTGACTTGAAGACGAAGCTGGGGGCTGAAGCTGGGGAGACCAGAGCTAACAGAGATAATATTGCTCAAGAGTTTGGGCTGCAAACATTGTGCACATTTTGGCTCATTTCAATAAGAAATTCGCAAGGCGAGGAAAAAATTTACTAGCCATAAAAGTCAGAACATGTCGGTGGCAGTGGCTGAAGGAGGCATGTGGAGGCGTGGCAAATGATAGTTGTTTTTCGTTGATACGAATTTCAAGGGATAAAGCATATAAACTCGCATTAGAAATGCACGAGTTGATTTGAGTTTCATTTTGTCAGTGAAATAAGCAAACAATGCCCATTGCAAGTGGCAGGCAGCAGCCAAAGCCACTGAGCAACCGAGACAACAAAGCAGCAACAAAGTGAAGCCGAAGGTGGCATCAACAAAGAAATGAGCAGTTCGGCATGGGATTAAGGAACTCTTGAATGCCCTGCAGAATAACCGAAAGAGAATACTCTATATTTAGTATTGCACTAAACATTTGGCTCACTCTCAGTCCGAAATAAATGCTGACTATAATATAAAATATATAATATAGATTTGGAAGAACGGAAGAGCAATGAACAGCCAGCCAAATCTAGCTGCATCGAGTCTCGTTTTATAATTCCGATCAAGTATATATATATCTTTACGTATAAGTAGTTTATGGGGTTTCCTTAAAGGGTATTAAATGACGACAAGAACAACAACAACTGCTGGCTCGACTGCTTTTTTGGCTGCTGTTGTCGTGGCACGTTTTGTTGGCCTGCACAACATTCATTTCCTGTTTCTTGTTGCTGCAGGACGCCAGATGCTGCTGACTTGGCCACTGGGTCGCGTTTTGTCTTGAGTGGGTCTTCCTCTGTTTCGGCTTCTTCTTTTAAATGCGCGTAAACTACTTACAGGGCGCATCCGGCGACGCCAACGTCAGCGCCAGCGCCTATATTATATTTTCCCATTTAGGGAGTGGAATAAAAAAATAAATAAAAGCAGCCGAAAGAAGTGGGAGAGCAGCTGAAAAACATATTGCCAAAGCGCAAAACAGCGAACAGAAGATGCGTTGAAAATCTTTTATCAGTGAAATTATTTGCCCAGGGACAACGGCAGCGGGCAGCGAACAACGTGCAACGGGCAACTTGCAACGTGCAGC